TTGCAGGTGTTCACCTGAGTTCAACACGTAACATTGAACTGAACAGCGGTACATATATTCCCGACCACACTGACAAGAGCAGGTCTTCTTCAACCCATCTAAGGTCTGTTATTAATAATCAACTGAGTTCCACAAACTACACGTCCGTTGGTGTCTTAGAAGAGAACAGCGGTACATATATTCCCGACCACACTGACAAGAGCAGGTCTTCTTCAACCCATCTAAGGTCTGTTATTAATAATCAACTGAGTTCCACAAACTACACGTCCGTTGGTGTCTTAGAAGAGAACATCGGTACATATATTCCCGACCACACTGACAAGAGTAGGGCTTCTTCAACCCATCTAAGGTCTGTTATTAATAATCAACTGAGTTCCACAAACTACACGTCCGTTGGTGTCTTAGAAGGGAACATCGGTACATATATTCCCGACCACACTGACAAGAGTAGGGCTTCTTCAACCCATCTAAGGTCTGTTATTAATAATCAACTGAGTTCCACAAACTACACGTCCGTTGGTGTCTTAGAAGAGAACATCGGTACATATATTCCCGACCACACTGACAAGAGTAGGTCTTTTTGTCATGGTTTGCTTCTTTATGCCGCTTCCTCCAGTGAGTTGCAGTAAAGACTTTGCCACATTCTTCACATGGGTACACCCCTGTCTTGGTCTGAGCAGTACCCTCCAGATAATCCACACCCTGTACTGGCAGATCTAAGCCAGAAGACCCTGACCTCGGGTCCGTTCCTTCAAAAAGATATTTCGAATCCAGGTTTTCAAATGTTAGAGGTTGAGACTTTACGACTAAGTGCCTATCACTACCCTCTGGGTTCTGTGAGCCTAATAGTCCTGTGTTAATACATATTCTCTCCTTGCTGACGCGACTACTGGCAATTTGAGGACAGTCTATATTCAAGGTGATACCGAGTGGTGACCTCATAGCTTCAGTGCTTTTGGCCATTCGGTAACCTGCAAGGAACAGAAGGTGGAATCAAAATAATTTTAACTCAAGAATATGTTAGATTCTACAAAATTTTGTACAGAATCAATAAAATGAGTTGATCTGGTGAGAAGAGTTTTTGCACTTCAGGAACGTTATGAAACCAGGATATCACAAAACGGACATTCTAACACGCAGTGAGTGAGTGAATGATTGAGTGTGTATGGTTTTACACTGCTTTTAGAAATATTCCAGCAATATCATGAGGAGACACCAGAAATGGGCTTCACATATTTGAGTGAACGCTTTAACCACTAGGCTACTAGTGATGGGAATTGTTTAAAATCTCATAACTGATGATTTGTTCAGTACAACCGATCAATCATCAACAAAATTGGTTAGCATCATTTTTCAGACTTTACTATTCAGGTTGTTATTGCAAATAGGTATTAATGATGCAACTTGCTACTTTAAAGTGATGACTAACATATTATCATGAACATAAACTTTCTGGAGTCTTCAAGAAATATTCAGTCATGACTTTTCAGTTAGTGAAGTGAGGATTCTAACAATGAAACATGTTTTCAGGCCCTGACAACTTTGAAGATATGTTCCATCGTCAAGTGTTTCAAAGACTAAACCAGTAAGGGACCAGTTCATAATATATGGCTAGGGGGGGTGATGATGATTTTTATACAGAAGCATGTACAACGTGAATGACCCCCACCCCCCAAAATTATGTACAAAATAAGTGAACCCCCTGTATGTCACGCATACAAAATCAATGACCCCTTCCATAATTTCTAAGCATAATTTTAAACATATCTTTATGTACAAAATTGCTGACCCCAGCATGCGTGTGTACAAAATTGATGACCCCTTTGTTCCCCAGAACAAAAAATTGCCCCCCCCCCAAAAATGTTTTTTAAAAAAAAAAAAATAAATAAAAACATAAAATAAAATAAATAATAATAAATAAATAAAAAAAAAATAATAATAATAATAAATAAAAAAAATCTAAAAAAATAAAATCATAATCACCCCCTCTTGCCATAAATTATGAACGGTCCCTAATTCTATTATTGTTTATGTTCTATCATGAGAAAATGTGATCAATTGCTTAGTCGTTTGGTCACTGCGACCAATCTTCGATTATTTCAGTTTATGGGAACACCACTATAGGCTACCCCGCCGCCCCAACACACAATGATGTAGAAGTATTGACCTTCAATCCCAAGGAACACCAAACACATGACAAGATGTTCTAGAGGAAAACTTATACCGAGGGGAAGCAAGAAAAACATCAAGGCCCTGAAGAGTCATGTGACAAGGATTTGTCAAGTGGAGTGAGTGAGTTTTAGTTTTACGCCGCTTTTATCAATATTCTAGCAATATCATCAGAGTGAGCGAACAACGAACGGTTTAATCACTAGGCTACCCCACCACTCCTTGTCAAGTAGAACAGCCGTTGTGCACCATTCTTCAGAGTAGAAGATATGGCCACTTTAGAACTTATACAATAACTCAAGGTTTAACCTTATGACTTGATACACTTATAAACACAGGCTTTAGTTTAATCAAACGTTTTGTTAAACTGTTCATCATGAATGTAGGTCTATATACAGTCAAGTCACTTAGATATCCTTTCATTAACTGAGATTTATGTACTTTCCATCTGTATGATGTTGAACATACAACTTATGGTAATTCTGCTGGAATTAAAACATGGTACCCACACCTGTGTAAAAACACTTGAGTCAGTAAGTGAGTTTGGTTTTATGCCGCTTTTAGCATTATTCCAGCAATATCACGGCAGGGGACACCAGAAATGAGCTTCACACATTGTAGCCATGTGGGGAATCGAACCCAGGTCTTCAGCATGACTAGCAAACACTTTAACCACTAGGCTACCCCACTGCCACAAGAAAGCTTGAAGTAGAGAAAGTTTCCATACATCACATCTTGAGTAGACATTTATGTTTTACTGACAGCCTAAAGATAATGATACCTTTAGTACAGCCTAACATTTAGTTTCTAAAATGAAAATATTGATAGATATATTTTATAGATTTATTTGTTTTTCTTTTAAATTTCTTCTGATATATGATGAAAAGGAGAACTGACGTGTGGTACTGAACCTGTTTTGAATAGTTTGGATATTTTGTTTTAGGTTTGGCATTAGAGAGTATATTATCAATAATTACCAATGTCGATGTAGCTGCTTTCACTGTTTCTCTAAAGCACTAAATCTCAAGGCTTTACATATCTTGGTATGTCTCTGCAGGGAACACTGGAAGGAAAAGCTCTTCCCACATAAACAGGTGTAAGTCACGCGGTCATGCAGGGCTATTTTGTGTCTCTTTCTTGACCCTTCTGTGGCAAACACTTTATCACACTGTGAGCATGGCCATACTGTCTTTCCAAGAGTTCCAGCTGGCACAGAGTTATCTGCCCATGAACTATACTTATCAAAGGGAGGTAATACGCCTGATTGGTCAGAGTTGCCATCTTGATGTTCAACTGGCCAGACATGGGGTTTATGGTCAGTTAGTTGCAGTCTGAATTGTCTGTTTCCTGAAAATAAATTGGAACGAAACTTAAAGAGAATTTTGCTTTGCAAACAATTAGACCATTTTCAATAAACACCATAATCATATGTTTGACAAGCACAGCCTATCTCCACAATGAAATATCACATGGCTGCAGCTGTAGTAAAAACAAAATACAAAATGATTCATTTTAAAAATTTATTTGTTAATAAATGAACACAACAAGGAACCGTCTTACAGCAGACAAGTTTCCAGAATAAAAGCATTACTTGCAGTGACTTTCACAAATTAAAATGCATATCTTGTCAAACATATCAGCTTAACAATCATGTTCCTCATATGTTCAAGAAATATTTCACCAAAAGAGTTAAGGAAAAAACCAACAAAATATATCATCCTAGATAACCAGTGAGTGAGTGAGTGAGTGAGTGAGTGAGTGAGTGAGTTTAGTTTTACGCCGCTTTTAGCAATATTCCAGCAATATCACGGCGGGGGACACCAGAAATCGGCTTCACACATTGTACCCACTTGGGGAATCGAACCCGGGTCTTCGGCGTGATGAGCGAATGCTTTAACTACTAGGCTACCCCTGGATAACCAAGTTTCAAAGAAAAATCTAAATTTCTTCCAAGGCACTTTTGTGTAAAAAAATAGAGACTCACTCGATGAACGGACAAAATATAATGTGAAAACTATAACCCAAGTACCTCTGGGTGGAACGTGGATTCTAACCTATTCGATGAAACATGCTCATCATGGGTCAATACTGATTCATAATGGAATATTTGTATAGAAAATGAAAATAATAAACCGGTTTTACAGCTTATATTGATTTGAGGTGTCTGTATGTGTCTCTGACAACTGACATTCACCCAGGGATTTAATTCGTCTCCATTTCATGCTCTGGACCAATGTGCAACAAAAACTGTATTTTGAAAGTGATTTTATCGATGTGGCTTATCAGTAGTCAGGCATAGACTTCTGTTGCTAATGAACTGGAACGCAACGACCAATCAAGATGTAATCTTGTAATATTGGAGTTAATTAAAAGTCGTAATACCTCAATATCGAGTGAGTGAAAAAGATCATTTTGGACAGTCTTGTTGCATATATCATTATGACATATGCATTTAAACTAGTCTCACCATTTGCTGTTTAAGATGCCACAAGAAGAAAAGGTATGATCATGGTCAGTTCCTAACTGAAACATGTTTGTTTTAAGAAAAAACAGGCTGACAAAACCAGGCACCAGATGTTCATTTCTCAATATTCTCAGTATTATTGAGATTGGAAGAATGTTGTTGTGATTGAGTGAGTTTAGTTTTATGCCACTATAACTGAAATGGGCTGTACACAATGTACCCATGTGGGGAATTGAACCTAGGTCTTCAGTGTGATGAATGTGCTCTACTTAAGTAAAATGAGTGAGTGAGTTAAGATCTTTTAGTGATATCAGCAGTATTTCAGCCATATCGTGACTATTTTTTTCTGTTCCTAAAAAAAAAGGTCATATTTTTCAGCTTGAGTTTTCTAACTTTCATGTGTTAAATTGAAAACTAACTTCTTTAAACTGCAGCAAAGTTTCTAACATACCAAAGTCTTTTTTGAAAATATCAAATTCTTCTTCAAGTCCTTACATGTTCCAACACAGAACCTGTCATTTTAAAAATGTTAAATTCTACAGAAACCTCTTGCAAAGCCTAACAAAGCACATATCATTTGAAAATCTGAAATTCTTCATAAATCAATTGCATATTCTAACAAAGCACCTGCCATTTGGAAAATGTGAAATTCTTCATAAATTCTTTACATATCCTAACAAAATGCCTGTCATTTTCAAAATCAGAACGTCTTAATAAGTTCTTCTAATATTCACTAGTCATAATAAAACTGAAATTCTTTGAAATCATTTTTGTTTCTAGTTGTGCTGAATAGTGTCCCCAAACAGCTTGTAAGGCTCTGCACGCTGAGCAATTTGACAGATGTGTCTGTGTTGACGGAATCCCCGTCGGTATTTGTACACCTTCCCACACGGACACAGGTAGGTTATTTTGTCATGGATGGCCTCCCTATGGGCCTTCTTGGTGCCAGGATCAGTGAAACTCTTGCCACATTCCTCACAAACATACAGACTCCGGCCAGGATCACACAGCCCTAACATGTCACTACCTCCAGGATTAACCCTTTCTGGTGCATCGTAAGCTGCCGATGGTCTACCAGCCTTCTGTCCTTGTAATTGCAAGGCATGTTCAGGAAAATATAGTTTTGACCCTCCATAATCTGAAAATAATAAAACAGGAATGGTATTTGTTTTTTAACAATATATTTTTTTAAATTCTACCACTGTATATTAGGGCTGCGCAATATAACCAGTTTACCGGTATATACCAGTTCAGACATGAAAACGATACGTATTGCGATACGCTGATCGAAAACCGGTATTTTGACATGCATTCGGAAATCTTCGGATATTTCCGTTTTATAAATTGTTCCTTTTCTTTTTTAATTTGTGCCAAATATTATTTACATTTTTATTTTGTCATGATTAATAGTTTTTATTAAGCTTAATCAAGCATGGTGATTTTGTTGTGTTTTTGCTTTATAAATCAAGCATTAACTCGATTATAAGCAGTTTTTGTTAAAAAAGAACTTCTTGCAATATATTGCAATACATATCGCAATATGTGCTTTCGCATCGCAATATATTGCAATATGAAAATTCTCTGCAATACCCAGCCCTACTGTATATGATGTTAATTTTAGAATGACGGAATTGATATTGCTGTACATAATTTTTAGTTTGTTTTCATGGATATGTGAGTCTTTTCTCATTTGGTCTTCACAGATGGCAATATATGGGTGTGTGAGTTGACAGTTTCACAGATATTAGGATTCTAATCCTGAATAATTTTATTATTATACCACAGTAATATGATGTTAGTTTTAGAATGACGGATTTAGCATTGCTGTACAAACTATTCATTTGGTCTTGATATTTTCATGGATTTTGGCAATATGTTTGTGAATTACTTTGGTAAAAAATATACATTCTTACTTGGTCTTGACAACTTCAGATTTCAGCTATATATGACGGGTGCAAATATGCGTTCCGTAGGTTGTACGCTAATATTAACAATATTTCAAAAGATCATGGCTTAACCACTAAGATAACCCACTGCGCCTGTATGTCACAGAAAGTTGACTTTGTCAGACAAACAGCACAGAGTAAAGTATTGTTTGAAATGGTTCGCCCTTTGGATATTTTCTCAAAAGATATAAAACTATTATAATGGTGCAAGACACTTCTTGGTGTCAGCCACCTACTTGTTGAACGTCAATTTCGGGGGGTGTTGACACTCGTCAAACTTCAATAATGTCACTGGTGGCATGAACTTGATCTGAGTGAGTGAGTGAGTGAGTGAGTGAGTGAGTGAGTGAGTGAGTGAGTGAGTGAGTGAGTGAGTGAGTGAGTGAGTGAGTGAGTGAGTGAGTGAGTGAGTGAGTGAGTGAGTGAGTGAGTGAGTGAGTGAGTGAGTGAGTGAGTGAGTGAGTGAGTGAGTGACTTTAGTCTTATGCCACTTCTAGCAATATTCCAGCAATATCATGGCAGCTGACATCAGAAATGGGCTTCAAATGAGGGGAATCGAACTCAGATCTTCAGCATGACAAGCGATCGCTTTAACCACTAGGCTACCCCACCGCCCAAGAACTGATCTGAAATGGGATGTTAACATGCAGGCTGGGTACCCTCAGGTTTCTCTTTTAGGGATTTTGGTACAGCCAGGTATCGAACCGCACAAAGTCTGTCCATTAGATCACAGGAGACACAGCCAGCTCTACATCCATTCTATTGATAACAGATTATCAGCATCCAGGAAATTCAACTGGACACAAAATTTCCAATTCGACACAATGCATGTAAATCATCAAACATCATACTCCTAGCTCTCTGGATATCATCAGTTATCATTTGATGACTGTGAGCTCAACAGACAAGTTTTCTTGTGAGTTCTTAGTCCAGTCCTGTACTTATATTCCTTTCCACAAACACACGCATGAGTTCGACCCTCGTGATTTGCATCTTTATGGTTCTTCAGAGCTCCCAGATCTGCGAAAGCTTTGCCACACTCCATGCAAGGGAAGGGCTTCCTTGTCACCAGGCCCTGATCTATGAAGTCTGGTATGTACGAACAGGGAGTAAGCGAGAACCCAGCTGTCACCAAATCAGCACAAAAGTTAACACTACTTATTTCCCGGTTTTGCCTTCTCCCATCATGCAATTCTCCACCTATCGACCTTGCAGCCATTGGCTGGTTTGACTGGTCAAAACCTGCAAATAACAAAAAAGTCAAGGCTAGTTTGTTTTTTTCATTTCAGGGTTTTATTCACCAAACTGTAACAGTATTGATTCTTTTTCAGTTATCAAATTATTTCAAGGACATGAAACATGTAACATATGCACAGGAATCTGCAAAAATGTCTCCTTGATAAGAGATAGCTGTGTGGAGTACTGGGGTGATCAAAGTGAAATACATGGAGCATCAAAAACATGTTCCCCTTTCTGACAACAAGTATTTGAGGAGGAAATATGGGTGAGTGAGTTGAGTTTGATGCCAGTTTAAACAGTATTTCAGTAATTTTGTGGTGTGTCAGGCCAATCCTGCAGGAGAGAGGAAAATATAGACTCAGCTGGACAAATTCATATTGTATCTAGCAGGACGATATGCATGTTTGTATGCTTGTGTTGTGTGTACAGCAGGATATGCCTGTGTTGTGTGTTGTGTGCAGCAGGATATGCATGTGTTGTGTGGTATGCATGATGCTGTGTTGTGTGTTGTGTGTAAGCAGGATATGCCTGTGTTGTGTATTACAGCAGATATGCATGTGTTGTGTGTACAGCAGGATATGCTTGTGTTGTGTATAGAGCAGGATATGCATGTGTTGTGTGTACAGCAGGATATGCATGTGTTGTGTGTACAGCAGGATATGCATGTGTTGTGTGTACAGCAGGATATGCTTGTGTTGTGTGTACAGCAGGATATGCCTGTGTTGTGTGTACAGCAGGATATGCATGTGTTGTGTGTACAGCAGGATATGCATGTGTTGTGTGTAGAGCAGGATATGCTTGTGTTGTGTACAGCAGGATATGCATGTGTTGTGTGTACAGCAGGATATGCCTGTGTTGTGTGTACAGCAGGATATGCATGTGTTGTGTGTACAGCAGGATATGCCTGTGTTGTGTGTACAGCAGGATATGCCTGTGTTGTGTGTACAGCAGGATATGCATGTGTGTGTGTGTTGTGTACCAGCAGGATATGCCTGTGTTGTGTGTACAGCAGGATATGCCTGTGTTGTGTGTACAGCAGGATATGCATGTGTTGTGTGTACAGCAGGATATGCTGTGTTGTTGTTGTGTGTACAGCAGGATATGCCTGTGTTGTATGCCATGTGTTGTGTACAGCAGGATATGCATGTGTTGTGTACAGCAGGATATGCTTGTGTTGTGTGTACAGCAGGATATGCATGTGTTGTGTGTACAGCAGGATATGCTTGTGTTGTGTGTACAGCAGGATATATGTGTGTTGTGTACAGCAGGACATGCAGGATATGCTTGTGTTGTGTGTACAGCAGGATATGCATGTGTTGTGTGTACAGCAGGATATGCATGTGTTGTGTGTACAGCAGGATATGCATGTGTTGTGTGTCCAGCAGGATATGCATGTGTTGTGTGTACAGCAGGATATGCATGTGTTGTGTGTACAGCAGGATATGCCTGTGTTGTGTGTACAGCAGGATATGGATGTGTTGTGTGTACAGCAGGATATGCCTGTGTTGTTATATGCATGTTGTTGTGTGTACAGCAGGATATGCATGTGTTGTGTTGTACAGCAGGATATGCATGTGTTGTGTGTACAGCAGGATATGCATGTGTTGTGTGTACAGCAGGATATGATGTTATGTGTACAGCAGGATGTGTGTGTGTGTACAGCAGGATATGCATGTGTTGTGTGTACAGCAGGATATGCATGTGTTGTTATATACATGTGTTGTGTGTACAGCAGGATATGCATGTGTTGTGTGTGTGTACAGCAGGATATACATGTGTTGTGTGTACAGCAGGATATGCATGTGTTGTGTGTACAGCAGGATATGCATGTGTTGTGTGTACAGCAGGACAGCAGGATATGCATGTGTTGTGTGTACAGCAGGATATGCATGTGTTGTGTGTACAGCAGGATATGCATGTGTTGTGTGTTACAGCAGGATATGCTTGTGTTGTGTGTACAGCATGTGTTGTGTGTACAGCAGGATATGCATGTGTTGTGTGTACAGCAGGATATGCATGTGTTGCAGGATTGTGTGTACAATAGGATATGCATGTGTTGTGTGTACAGCAGGATATGCATGTGTTGTGTGTATACAGCAGGATATGCATGTGTTGTGTGTACAGCAGGATATGCCTGTGTTGTGTGTACAGCAGGATATGCATGTGTTGTGTGTACAGCAGGATATGCATGTGTTATGTGTTGTACAGCAGGATATGCATGTGTTGTGTGTACAGCAGGATATGCATGTGTTGTGTACAGTATACATGTGTTGTGTGTACAACAGGATATGCATGTGTTGTGTGTACAGCAGGATATGTGTGTTGTGTGTACAGCAGGATATGCATGTGTTGTGTACAGCAGGATATGCCTGTGTTGTGTGTACATGTATGCATGTGTTGTGTGTACAGCACGCAGGATATGCATATACAGCAGGATATACTTGTATGTGTGTTGTGTGTACAGCAGGATATGCATGTGTTGTGTGTGTACAGCAGGATATGCATGTGTTGTGTGTAGCAGGATATGTTGTGTGTACAGCAGGATATGCATGTGTTGTGTGTACAGCAGGATATGTTGTTGTGTGTACAGCAGGATATACAGCAGGTGTACAGCAGGATATGCATGTGTTGTGTGTACAGCAGGATATGCATGTGTTGTGTGTACAGCAGGATATGCATGTGTTGTGTGGGATATGTGTGTTGTGTGTACAGCAGGATATGCATGTGTTGTGTGTACAGCAGGATATGCATGTGTTGTGTGTACAGCAGGATATACATGTGTTGTGTGTACAGCAGGATATGCATGTGTTGTGTGTACAGCAGGATATGCATGTGTTGTGTGTACAGCAGGATATGCATGTGTTGTGTACAGCAGGATATGCATGTGTTGTGTGTACAGCAGGATATGCATGTGTTGTGTGTACAGCAGGATATGCATGTGTTGTGCAGGGTACAGCAGGATATGCATGTGTTGTGTGTGTATACATGTGTACAGCAGGATATTGCATGGATATGTGTGTTGTGTGTACAGGATGTGTTGTGTGTACAACAGGATATGCATGTGTTGTGTGTACATGGATATGCATGTGTTGTGTGTACAGCAGGATATGCATGGATATACATGTGTTGTGTAATACAGCAGGATATGCATGTGTTGTGTACATGTGTTGTGTGTACAGCAGGATACAGCAGGATATGCATGTGTTGTGTGTACAGCAGGATATGCATGTGTTGTGTGTACAGCAGGATATGCATGTGTTGTGTGTACAGCAGGATATATGCATGTGTTGTGTGTACAGCAGGATATGCATGTGTTGTGTGTGCAGGATATGCAGGTGTTATGCATGTGTTGTGTTGTGTACAGCAGGATATGCATGTGTTGTGTGTATACAGCAGGATATGCAGCATGTGTTGTGTGTGTACAGCAGGATATGCATGTGTTGTGTGTACAGCAGGATATGCATGTGTTGTGTGTACAGCAGGATATGCATGTGTTGTGTGTACAGCAGGATATGCATGTGTTGTGTGTACAGCAGGATATGCATGTGTTGTGTAGAGCAGGATATGCATGTGTTGTGTGTAGAGCAGGATATGCATGTGTTGTGTGTACAGCAGGATATGCATGTGTTGTGTGTACAGCAGGATATGCATGTGTTGTGTATACAGCAGGATATGCATGTGGTGTGTATAGAGCAGGATATGCTTGTGTTGTGTATAGCAGGATATGCATGTGTTGTGTGTACAGCAGGATATGATTTGACGTGTGTACTGTATACTATATGATATGCATCAATATCTGTATTGATAACAATTTGAGAAGAGGGATCTGAAGCTTAAGGAAGAAAATTTTCTCACATTTAAAGTTGAAGGCAAGAGTAGGAAATACTCAACAAGGTATCAGAAACACTGTGCTGGAAACATATACAAAACTACACATGATCTAAGCTAAACATTATATTCTTAAACAAATAGAATCTGACACTCCAATGGTACTATAATGGGTCTTACAATGGGCAGATTGCCTGATGTTAACAAATATAATCACAGAACAAAAGACATAACCAAATGTGCCACTGTCTGTCGTGTTTCAAAGGAATCAATAAAC